AAGCAAAGCCCCTCACGCGTCTTCTGTCGAGCATTATGCGATGTGATCAAAATTTTGCTTTCAGTAAAAGTGGCATAAAATAAGCTCTAGAACCAAATTGTACAATAAAAATATATGATTTTCACATAAAATCACTTAAAATAAAAAAGTTAATGTCATTTTCCAGCTATATGAGAAAGTTATGTTAAACCTGTTATCACCACGCGATTCCTAGCCAAAATTAATTTCGGGTTTGTTTAAGACCATTTTTTACTAAAGCTAATCGTTTCTGAATCGAAGGACTATCGAACTGATATACCCTGTATACCATTTTTTTTATTTGTCAATTTTCTATATGCAATCTTTTTTACTCTATCCGCCGTTTTATGCACATCCATCTTATACACTGTCCACTGTATTTATGCAAATCATTTCTTACACTGATCGCTGTTTTATATATTTCTTTTTTTGCACACTGTCTTCAATTCTGATACAAATCAATTCTGACTCGGACCACTGTTCTTATTCATATCTTTCCTTACATTGTTCATTGTTTTTATACATTTTTAGCACTACCCACCGATTTTTATACATTTTATACATTTCTTTCCTTACACTGTACATTGGTTTGTTTTTCCTCCCAATCTTTCCCTACATTTCCACTGTTTTTAGACCTATTTTTTTCACTTACCTGTTTGTCTTTATCAGTCTTTACACGAATCATTATTTTCTAAAAGTTGGCGAATTGTGAATTTTCTTATGAATCTTTCAGTATTTAAAATTCTTCACTTGTCTTCTAAATTTGTTATCAGTTTTTTCTTGTTTATTTTTGTTTCCTACGTAGTTTCAATAATTTATATTGATAAATAGTGTCGGTCTCAGTCTTATTTTCTGTCTTTCCGATTTTAATCGTTTCCGAATTAAATGGGTGGACTATTGAGTCGAGTGTATACCTGTAAACATGTTTTATAAGATTATGGCATATAAGCCAGTTTTATTCATATAAATTTTCTTGATTATTTGATCAAACAAAAAAAAAAACACTCTTACAAATAAATTTTCATTATTCGTTATGGGGCAAGTAAAACTTTTGGAATTATTTACCTTTGTTATTTAACAACAGTAATTTGCTATCAGATTTGTATTGGTAGAACGGTTAACGTTATTACATTTTATTTTTATTTCCAAAACGTTTATTATTCTAACAAAATAAACGTTATTTTCAAATAATAATTTTTTCGTTTATTTGAAATATTTATGTATGATAACGGATTGTTGTTTGTTTGTCATATTTTTTAAATTAATTTTTCAACTAGTTTGTACATTCATACTACTAATTGAGGGGAGGGCGATATTTCATTCTTTCAACATTGGGGAACGTGATAAGAGGTCTAACATTTTTAAGCTGATGATGTAATATATTCAAAGTAGGTAGTAAGGTTTAATTTGTAACCGAAAATAACACCCAGGTTTTTAGTTTTAAAAATGGAAAACCGTATTATTACAATAATTGAAGATATGGGATATTTTAGTCTGGCAAAAAATAATAGGATAACATTTGTCAATATTAAAAAACGGGTGGTTCTCGAAAGACCAGTTGTGTTGAGAATCCAATTCAGGCTGAAGAAGTAAGCAATAATACGTAACATTTTAAACTATTATTACAAAGTAAATAAATTATTTATAAATTAGAATTTACGGGAGGCGAAGAAACTCCAAACTTTTTCTCTTACAGCCTTTCAAACATTAAGTCCTCCGTACAATATTCAATGACCCTTTCTATATAATTCGCCCCATATCCTTGACCTTACCAAATGCCTATATACGTTCAATGCTATGCTAAATTATTCCCTTACCTTAATCCATTAATGCAGAACCTACCCCATCTTACCTTTCCTACGAACTGTAGTGGCCCTTCGATCAGTTGGTTAGCTAACGACGGAATTCCAGGGATTACGCTAATACCATTGGCTCTTACAGACCACCGTCATTCAAGCCATTTACGTTTTGAACTATTGTTACAAATGTCAATAAATAATAACATTTTTTCGTGCAATGTTCAACTAGCTCCAAAATACTTGATATATTTTCTCTGTACCCAACACATGTATTGTTTGCAAGGTTGTCTTCACTCTTGAATTGTCAGAGAAACCCAGTGTTTGAATTAATCAGCCGCAGTTAAATGTCCAATCGATGTACGTTACATGACCCAATGGTATGTATCTTTTGATTGCTGTGGTAAACATAAATAACAACAGGGCGGATCGCTCAACCCACATTTGAACAATAGTCCCATCGACAGACAGACAATCTAATAATAGCCGGTATTTAAATAATCGATGAATATTTGTTTTTCTCTCTGTTGCAGCAGAACTTTGAAAATGTTTATGAATTAAAATGCTTTCAAATAAAACGGTACTTCTTCTCCAGTGTTTCAACGTTTGCTCTTGGTGAAAGAAATAATGCTGTCACTACGACACTAATTCAACACACAAATACGCCGGTTTTCTTTGCCCCTAATGGGTTTCTCTTGTATTTCTCTCCCAAACGTCTAGGTTCACCCGACCACGGATTTTTTCTCCTGTTTTTACGCAGCGGTTTATCAGTAATGTTCTGTAAATTGTTAACAAATATCATTTGGAATATTGAGTATGCCTGATGTGTAATATTAACTGCAAATAATTTACCTTGAAAATTTTTATAAAGGTTAGTAGGTTTTTCAAATATTTTAATCATAATCGTGTATACCTATATACCTCCTATATGACTAGAGATCAGCCCAAAACGTTATAATTATATATTAAAAAGCAATCAGAGATATGTCAAAACGAGCTATCCCGAGGAAAATATCCACTTCATCAGGACGATCAAACTGTAATTCCTAATTAAGGTAATATGAACATCTCACAATCCCAATGACCAAATTGTCATCTTAGCCGTTCCATATGAACATAAGGCTAATAATAATTAGTAAGAACTGTTGCACAACTTTATTATATGTTTAGAATTACTCAAAGCAACCGGTAAAACCTCTGGAGAAATTCAGTTAAATAAAAGTTTTCTCCAGAGAGAAAAGTAATCCCACTGTTATTTTGTTTATTTATTTCAGAAATGATAACATTCTTTTGGAGCAAAAATGCTCTAGGGATAAGTATAGTAAACTTAATAGATTTATTAATGATATTCAATCCCGATGATGTACTGAAAATGGAATAATCTCAAACTAAAATGAACTATTGTATATTATACTAAAACTATTGTAGTCGAAACTTGAAAATTCACAATTGACAATCATCAAGTCATTTGGGTAATTAGGAGTCCATCCACCGTCCTTTGGAAAATTTAACCTCAAATTTCATTACACTAGTAAAAACAGTATGTCTCTAGCTGTCTTACAATTGTTAACTACAATATAAATATATNTATATATATATATATATATGAAAGCTAACGCCCAAAATTATTTTGCTTAAATCTTTCCATTTACCAGCATTACTGTGAGGTTTTTTCTTATATTTGGTAACAATATTGAGTTGTTAAAAGTATTTTAAACGAGAAAATGGCATACCAAACTTAATATCAGCGGTTATCCGCAGAAGTGTAAAGTTTTGGTACAAATGGCTCATTCTCTGGCGATTGTTTTCAGAAGGTCATGTACTTCTCAATAACTGAATTACTTGATTTAAAATTTACGCCTTTTATCTGGGCCAAAACTTTTAAGGAATATCAAGTAAAGATTGGAGCATCAGAGGTATGGCAAGCATAAGAGGCCACCCTCCTGTTGCCAATTAAAAGCGACTTAATCGTGAAATGTGAGAGCCATTATAGTTTTATAGATGCTGAAAGAGGTTTAATTCAAATTTTAACCGCTTACATCCACATTCATGTCTTTTTGCAATAAGAGAATTTTATCTATACAATTAAAAGATTGATCGGAATAAGGTTTTTGTTCAAATTTGGATATTTAATTTTGTTATTTTTTGGAAGTAAATGTAATGTAAAAGTAAAATCAAGCGTAAATTTAAAATCATGAACATTCAGTTTAATGTTAAGAATATTCTTGAGCACTTCCTCTATGAAGCAAAGTCAACAAAGATAAATAAACCTAATCAATGTTCCGGAGAAAAGTTTGACTGGCATTTCAAATATAACAAGCTATCGTCAAAGAAGTTGTTTATGTTTTTAATATTAATATTTAAATTTACTTCTTGCTATATATGTACAAATGCTATAAACTGAAAGTAATATTGAATTTTACAAAGCAATCAACAATTTTTCAAGAGAACTTAATTTGGGTTTTTGTTTCTTCTGTGCATAATGATTATTATCTCTCTCTCACTCTCCCTCTCTCTCTCTCTCTCTCTCTCTCTCTCTCACTCTCACTCACTCTCTCTCTATCTCTCTCTCTTACTCTCTCACTCTCACTCACTCTCTCTCTATCTCTCTCTCTTACTCTCTCACTCTCACTCTCTCTCTCTCTGTCACTCTCTCTCTATCTCTCTCTCTATCTATCTATTTATCTATCTATCTCTATCTATCTACTACATATCTCCTGCTTTTCTTCACTATACCGCATCTCACGATATCGAATTACTATCGATTAACGGTCACTAATCTCTACACACTATACCCAATTTTATACTGTTATTTATAAGAAGTTATTTAAATTCTGGCTGGGAAATGGTTAAAAAAGTAAATGAAAGTAAATTTGATAAATGTATGAATATCATACTATTTTTAATGTCGTTTTTTATTGTTTTTTTTTATTTCGTATAAAATTTTAATAGTGATAAAAATTAGCCACAAGCAATTTTTAATAAATCACACTATATCTTCAAAAGCTGTTAATGAATTTTTACAACCGCTATATTAGCTAGAAGAACCACAATCATAAGTAAACGTTACCCTTATTTTGTCTATTTTTGCTATTGTCTCGTTCACCTGAGATTTTAAAATCTATAGTTATGTTTGTGCTACTATTAAATTAAATTTTGTTTAACTTCCTATCATCCTTGTTGCAGTTTATTTCTAAAAGAAACTGATTACGTATCTAAGTGGGCACGAGAAATCACGCTTAGTGACACCGATGGTATCAGCAATAACTACCAACTGGTGGCCCTGAACACTCATTTACACGATAATACCACAGAATTCAAGCGTAGGACTGTTTCCTTTTAAGGTTAACAAAAGTAAGCTGATAAAACAAGAACCAAATAAACTTTTCTACAAACGGAACATTTCTTGTAAAATATTATACTTTTACTTTAGCCTTTTTTAAACATCTTTTCGTCTGTAAAGTATGAATAAATCTAAATAATAGTATAACTCAAATGAATTAACGAAATATAGGTTTGTGGTTAACGTTATTAAATTTGATAATTAATTATTGAATATTAACATCGATATTGTTGTACTTTTAGCCAAATTCCTAAATAATTTAAATTTATTTCTTACCGATGATTTTTTTAATAATTTGTTTATTATTGAAATTGAAACTTTTATTTTTGGCGAGATAGATAAAAAGTTAAGTATTTGTAATTTGGTTTGTTACCGATTATTTTTGGTCATAATCTCGCTGAGTTGGTCTGCTTTATTAACAATTATTAAGCACTATTAATTCCTGGTACAAAATTCGCCACAGATTTATAATAAACAAATTTTACTGTTATTTGGTTTTGACCAAAACAATACGTACTAAATGTTTATCAAGGTAAAAATCGAGTTTCAATAACAATCCTGTAAATACACGCTGCCAGGTTCAAGCACTGTTCTCATATCGGGTTTTCCTACAAGCTCCCTATATGGAGCCAAGAAATGATATGAAATTAAGTAGGACACGTCGATGTAAGGGTATGGGTTTTATTTTTACATTTTTTTATTTGTTGTATATTAGATAAATGAACTTTTATTTATTTTTTTATAAACTAAAGAAGAGGCAGAATCATATTCGAATTAAAGTTATGATAATGTAGCTGAATATTGTTCTTAAAATAACTAGCTCAATAACAAAAATGACCGATGACCTCACCAATTTATCGGCCCCAAAACTTCCCTTCTCATATAAAATTATTATAATACGTAAAATTTACGTTTAGAAACCAAGAAAGAACTACAAAAAGAAAATGAATAATAAAAAATTATACTTCAGAAGTGAAATGGAACGCAGTAAACGATAAAAATCGGTTGGGAAATGTAAGTTATTACCCAAGAAATTTTGTATGGGCCCTTCCTCAGTTTTGACGTCGCCTTTTATTACCAACGATCCCCTGGAGTCAAATATAATTTTCCACCTCGCAAAAAACATGGCGCAAGTTTTTAAACTTAAGCCGTAGCCCTTTGATCGTTATGAAAGAAAGCGGCTGAAATAAATGCGAGTGGACAGTCTGGAATGTAATTGAGAGAGGCCGGAGGCGCGGGAGGTGAACTTGTTAAGTAGAGCAATACTTGGGTGTGCCTTTGTCGGCCGAGTACCTTTATAACGAGACTAAGCCTAGTTAGACTCTCTTCCCTTCACAATGCCACTTAACAACATAACACTTTTAACGCTCCACTCCAGGGTACAATTGGACAGGGAGACCCCTCCTATTTCTCCACGGCCGCTACTGCCCTCCTCTGAATACGCCGGCTTAATGCGTCCTTCCTCCCTTCGTTCCATGCGGGATTTCGACGGTTCTCGAAAAGGTCTCCCCAACTTCGGCAAGTGGGCAATAACGGAAGAAACGACGTAATGGCGAAACTTGAAAAATTGAAGAATGCTACAAGCGTCGAGCACATAGGGTGATGGAGTTTCTTTAAAAACTAAAGAAACACCGTTCTAACGCAACTCCCATTTATTGTATTCAACTATTTATCTTCTATTTTGCATTGTAAAAGCAGAAAATCACATCTCAAATTTTCAAATGCACATTTTTGTTTTAAACTAACTTTTTATTAATCTCACTGATTATTCGGGGATCGTGAGATGGGGTCTGGTGTCACGTAGGTTTTAGAAACATATTTTCTTTATCGTGCCAACGTTTCGATCTTTATTGAGATCATCTTCAGGGCCTGGGATTTACAAACATTGTTTAAATTTAAAATAAACATGTAGGATGTGGAACAAAATGAATTTATACAATGCAAAAAAAATTATATTCAATCAAAGTAATTGTAATCACTCAAAGTGCTTGTTTTCTGTGTAATTGTGTCATACTTGTGTGTCGAGTAGAGAGGGCCAATGCGATATTGATGTTTTCTGTTTATATACGTTGGATTTTGAAGGGGTGGAGAAAGAAGTCGGGATAGAAAGACATTTTTGTATGAGGAGTCGTTTTTTTTTGAGGCGAAAGGAGCTGACAATGAGAAAAACGTGGGTAATGGTTCAGCCTGATTATCCTTTCAGGGTCATATAGACGGGGATAATTAGGGAAAGGAAAGCCAAATTGTTGAAGAATTAGACTATGTAGAAATGTTTGATGTGAGGAAAGTAATGATTGTTTTATATGTTATATTATATGTTTTGTGTGATATGATGATTATATATGTATATTATCGACATTGAATTTGATTATGATATTGGCGTAGCTGCGAATGAATTTACATGTGTCTGTTCTGTACTTGATGCTGTGTTTATCCTTGTTGATGTAAACTATTTCTAAAAAGTTACGTTTATGTTTGTTTTGGTCTGTGTGTAATATTTTTGGATTGTTGAAGTCGAAATTGCCGAATGAATGGCATGGAATGTATTTTGGTTTGTCTGTATTTGATAGATTTAATGTAGTATTATTAGCAATAGTAGATGGTGTTAGTGTTGAGTTGTAGTTGATGAGTCAAAATACTTTGATTGAATACTTTAAAAAAATTTTGCATTGTATAAATTCATTTTGTTCCACATCCTACATTTTTTGTAAAATTTAAACAATATTTGTAAATCTCATGCCCTGAAGATGATCTCAATAAAGGTCGAAACGTTGGCACGATAAAAAAATGTTTTTCTAAACCCTACGTCACACCAGGCCCCATCTCACGATCCCCAAATAATCATTGACTAACGGTCACTAAACACCACAAATTTTTTGTTTTCAAAGTTGAAAAACTGACTATGTTGATTCTGAAGTAGTATTTCCAAACCTAGGGACCAGCAATTTTCAGCAAACGAACTCAACCAATCTCACTACTTAACAATTATTTACATCTTTGTGAGTGACTGACTATCCCTGATAACTCTTTTGGACGAAAATTCATATTTGAAATTTTTTCGAAGTTTTAATAAACTTCCACGTAATAAATCGATATAAATAAACAATTTTTTTCGCCAGGTCTTACATATTTCAGACATCATTGACGGCGACACTCCGTCGTACGGATTTGACTACAGACCTTTATGTTAAAAAATCGATGATGTTGCATTTACAGTTTTATCAGGAAAATACTACCAAGCAACAACCCGGCCCATTGTCTTTGAATGTCACGGGAAAAATTCGTAGAACTGAAATAAGACGGCATTTTTGTCCTTTTCATTAACTCCGACTCGAGCCAATTTACTATAACTGTCAATAGCACATTTATCAGGAAATTACAAAGGTGTGAAAAATTAGGATACTCTGGAATCCTAATGTTTTTTTGCCTTAACCAAGGAAAAGTGGGAAGGTTTCAAATTCTAATTGAATGAAACAATAAAAATAGTTACCAATGATAGTATTTTTATAAATGAAATGATAATATTCAAAAAATTAAACAAAACAACTACCCCAGGTACAAATTTTGCATTTTTCTAGATTTCTACTCAAAATTTAATGATTTATTAAACTAACTATATTTGTTTGGCATAAAAGATAAAAGGCATTTTAATCCGTGTGTTCTGAATCTAAATAAATATTTTAATTGAAAAGACTACAAATTCAACATTCATAACAAAAAATGAAGTCTTGAATTAAATAATATTGTAAAAGAAAAAGTGCTTATGAATAATACAGTAACAGTTTTCCTTGAAACTGAAGAAGAGAAAGGAATTCATATTCTGGCTGAAATATATATGCAAATAATAAAATGTATGCTCAACGTAAAAACCACTCACAAAAGATAGCAAATAACCAAATTTACTTTACCATTTTTTTTAAGTAAAAACAACAACTTAGTGATTTTCAAAACGGCAGGTAAAATTTGCAGAAAAAGTAAACTATTTGCCAATAACTATCGTCTTCTTCGATCAATGGCACAGTTTTTCTTTTTTCGGAGCCACTGATGGCTCAAGACTGCTTTTCTCCACTGCAACCTAATAGATGAATTGTGGAAATGGCCCTTATTTAATTCCAAACCGCGAAAATTAACACGTTAAGTAGGTTAGCACGTTTTTTCTTTTTTTATTAGGCGTAAATATTGCCTTTCGGAAGAGGCTGTACCAACCTTTCTGGACCAAAGGTTTGATTTACAAAGAAGATGCTCCAATGTTTCTGCCTCTTCATGACAGAGACGGCAATTTTCTTTTTAGATATTCTTTTCTTTAGATGGTAATTGAAACGCCAGTATAATGGCCTATTATTTTCCTTAAATCTTACTTACTGAGAGAGGTATATTTTTGTTCTCCTGGCTGAGATGCTGAAAAATATCATTGATCGTTTTGAACTGATGAAGTCATCCATGGTGGTCATTTCTTTCTCGATCCATTTGATCCAATTGTAGTGTGCCAATTTGCCGATCTGGTCCAAGTGTATTGGGATGCTGCTTTTGTTAGTTTGCCAGTTCTTTACCCTCAATTTCTTCAGCGGATGAAAATAAGATCCTTTACAACAATGTTCAGATAGGAAAATGTAAAAAACACCTACTGTTTATAACTCCAAGAGCCGGAGTACACCTGAAAACGGCTATATTGTGAATTAGTGGGATTGGAAAGGGTTATTGGCACAGGGTAGTAGAAAAGGTCGGTATTCCACTAGGATAAACCTTGGTTTCACATACATCAGAAATATAATTATTAATGATGGAGTTAGTATGTTGTTCAATCTTTCTAAATAGTAGTTTAGTTTTTTCTAAATAGTAATTTAGATTTTTCTAAATAGTAGTGGATAGTTCTTATCCACTGTTAGTAATTACTTCAGTATATTTATATTTTATATTTGTATTTATTTTACAAAAATATATCGATAAACCAAGCTGTAGCAGTTTTTTTGTATCTAATTCTGTTTTGGGACAAATTTTAAGCCTTTAATTATTCAATTCTTTTCTTCT